ATATATACAGTCAAACCAAAATTTATTCAGACACCTTCAACATTTCACACATTATCACAGTTTATTCGCTATAGTTTATAAAATGGTAATAAAATATGACAAGAACTCAGAGTTAAACTGAGTCAGAACAAATTCATCTTGATAATGTCAGATAACACTTAAGCAAAACATGGTCAGGTCAACGTGTCTGAATAATTTTTGGTCCTAAATTTTTATAAATTTTACTGGTAGTCCACTGTATGAATAATTTTTTGCTATCCTCACTTACATAATTGAACTATAGTGCCCTGCACCCACTAGTAAAAAGACCTCTTTGGTCTTGCCCATGGTGGTGGGAGATATAAATAAACGGATAACAACCCAGATCTCAAAACATTTGTACAGTAATAATATGGAAATCTTACCTTTTGGACATCTGCATTTCAGTTCTCCCATCTTGTTTATGTTCACTGTTGTCTCGAATCGGTCCTTCAGTGTGATTACTTTGCAGTCATATGAAGTCTGTTGACTTGTACAACCCTTAACACAAATTACGGAAGTGATGTCTTGATCCGTTTATGTAAGTTACCAAGGAATTGATGATCATTCAGTCATGCTGACCCGCGCTATTGCGTCAATTGTCTTCTTCTCTTTTCTTTTCTGTCTGTCTGTCACGCTTGCTTGCTCTGTCTTTCTGTGGGGTGTCTCAGTTGATCCACTGCAGGTAAGGGAATCATTTTTTTCTTTCCTTTCTGTATCGTTTTTACGTCACCCGCTCTTAACCCCCTCTGTTACTCTTTTTCTGCCCTCTGTGCTGGAAAGCCCCGCTACCTCTATCCACCCTCTGCACTTGTGCTTGAATTCTCTTGCCTTCCTTCCTGTTTGTGCAGTAATAAACCCCTGAGGCACACACAGAAAATGTCAACATGAGACATTTATTGTGTGATTAGTTTACAGCAATCAGCATTATTGAGGACATCCAAACTAAAACAGCTGCTTCAAATAGGCTACTGTTAGGCTGCCATACGTTTGAGACAATGAGGCAGTTCTATACTTCTAAAACTAGGTTTTACACCAACTGAAAAGGTGAGGAAAAAGTGTATTATGTTAGAAAAAACTACTGCCATGAAGTGTTTTAAACCTAAACATTTAATTTATTTTAATAACATTTCTGAATAATATCATCCCTCTTAATTCTTTCTGAATAGGGGCAGGAATATTTTAGCAAAATGTATCTGCAAATAGGCTATCTGTTGTTACCTGCTCTGAATCACACATTGTGACCTAAATGTCAGAAAAAAAGTGAGGTCTGACTTCAAAACCCACAGACACATTTGTGGAAGGCTGCAATACCATCACGGTGAGAATGTGTGTGTTTGTTCCTACTCTTCTCCTCATTTGGTCAGAACTGTTAACAGTGTAGTTTCATATCTTTACTGTAATCTTTAATGTGAGCTGTGCTGTGGCACACAGAACCTTCTACAAATCAGCATGTAATATTTTACTCTGTAGTTTATGGAAAAAGGTCTTTCCTCACGATATTTATCTCATTTCCAACATATAGCTAAGATAAAATATGCTTTCGTTAGAACAGACACTAAACAAAAACACATACTGTATATGTTTAGGTATCACCCTTGTGATGTAAATAAACATCTAAACTTTGTATAGCTTTTAATAGCTTTTCTGTGATATATACACATGTAACACATTACTTTTGAATAAGTCAACTTTGTATAATTTTTCTACCCACAATTAGAAACATTTAACAATGGCTGTCAAAACAATAAAATAATTGTGATTTATCTCATTTTTTATTTTTATTTTAGCACACTTTGAGGGCCCCTGGATCCCAGTTAAAAAATAAAACAAAACTTCACATTCAGGATCTACAACAACAGAAGTGGGATTCATGGCCTGCTCTAGAGATTTATCTCTGTAATAGTGACAATTTTACTTCCTTAGTTTTGTGTTAAATAAAGCTATGAACACTTTCTGTTTTACTTCCTTTGTCTGGTGTCATTTAGCTTGCTTAGCTCATTTGTAGGTATTAAATAAATGAGACTGAGTAATTTGTAATGTAGCATAATTTGTGGAATTTATTGGCAATGGTCAGTATGTAATGTAGTTGGTAAATGTACTGCTGCATTAGAGTAAATGTTAAGTGTAATGTGTATGAACATCAATGTATTTTGTAAAACTACACAACAGCAAACACAAATATAACTAAACAGCTCTATACACCACTGTATTTTACATAGTATACTAGTAACTGCTGTAAAATTACTTGTGTGGTTGTTGGAAAACATCTTAAAAACACAGAGCAGATAACCTTTTCTTCCTCCGTGCCCCCATCTCTCTCTTTACCCTCTAAACCTGCTCTCTTCTCTCCCTCAGTATGGAAGCCCATTTCCGCCACTGAATAAAAAAATATTGTTTCAGCGGTTGTTGCATGCATCAGTCCAAAAGAAGTTAAATAAAAAGCGCCTATGCATAAAAAAAAGTGTCTCACACGGCTCCGGGGGGTGAACAAAGGCCTCCTGTAGCGAATCGATGCGTTTTTGTAAGAAAAATAACCATATTCTAAACTTAATAATCACTTTAATGTAGCTTGCGCTTCACTGTTGTAAACGGAAGCAGTTCCGGGCGGATGACGTAGGACGCCGGAGTTGCGCATGTGCTGCTCAGAAGTGACACACGCGGAAGCGCAGCGGAGAGATCAAAACAAAACAACGGTCACTTATTAGAAGTACAAAACGAGGATTTGTAAAGAAGAATGTTGGAGGATTTCGATATAAGCCAAGAGGAGACTGGTTTTCCTTTGATAAAGTAAGGAAACTTTGCTTCCTTTGCTCCTGTTAACAAACGTTGGTTTTCACGAGACTCACCGGCGCATGCGCAACGCTGACCTCATACGTCATCCTCCCGGAGCTGCTTCCGTGTACAACTGTTGGCGCAAGCTAGATTAAAGTGATTATTACATTTTGAATATGGATATTTGTCTTACAAAAACGCATCGATTTGCTACAGGAGGCCTTTGTTCACCCCCTGGAGCCGTGTGATACACTTTTTTTATATGGATGGGCGCTTTTTATTTAACTTATTTTGTACTGATGCATGCAACACCCGCTGAGTGGCATTAAACAGCTTGAAAGATCAAAGACAATTTTTAATATAACTCCGACTGGATTCGTCAAGTCATGTACACTTAGGATGACTTGAGGGTGAGTAATTTGTGGGCTAATTTTCATTTTTGGGTGAACTAACCCTTTAAATCTTGATTTTTTTTTCAAGATTTTCTTCACAATTCTGAGATTTTTTTTCTCAGAATTGTGAGTTATATATATATATATATATATATATATATTATGAGATATAAACTCGCAATTCTGAGCAGTCCCCCCCACCCTCTCAAAATTTGACTTTATAACTTGCAATTGTAAGTTTATATCTCACAATTCTGTGAAAAAAAAAAAATCAGATTTTTTTATTCAGTGCCGGAAACGGGCTTCCATACCTTTGCACTCTCTCCCTTTCCCATTTTATCTATTTGACTCTTTTCTCTTCCTCTTTAATGTCTCCTCACTTTATCTCTCCTTTTCATTTCTTACACCAGGAGGCATATTTATTCTCTGTCTATCAGGTTAAAGTGTTTCCATGGGTTTCAGCATTGTACTGTAACCAATATATTTCTGGATCATGTTGTAAACTGTGCATAAGCTGTCAATTAACTGAAATAGTGTTCATATTAGTAAAATATATTGACTTTTACATTAAAAAAACTCAAATTACACTAGTATACATTAGTTTTAAAGAATAACAATATAAATATTTCAAAAAAAACTTTTAAAATAGTATCTAAAAATTATAAAATGGCTAATCATTACGGCTGTGACAAACTAAAGCCTGGCCTAAAGACTATTTTTTAAAGGGATAAGCTCTTCATTATGGCCACGTTGTCAGAGAAGGATCAGTAGACAGATGCAATTGCAGGTATGCTCTCTTTATTGAGAATAAAGCAAGCCAAAATAGTCCTAAATCCAAAGGACATAATCCAGTATAGAGCAGGCAGTAGTCAGGCAATAGCTGAACAGGAAACTGGGAGCAATGATCCAAAGTACAAGTCTTAGTCAAAAAACACCAGGAGAACATAGAGCATCCAAAAAGGCATAGACAAGTCACAACACCAGATAAAGAGTTGATACTTCACAAAGCATGTAGAATTGAGTCTCTTTATATAGGGTGTCTAATCAGTGTGAACTGCTTGCATGTGCATCTAATCAGAAGTCAGGTGATTTAGAGCGCTGCCAGGTATTCTGGGATATGGAGTCCAGGGCGGTCCTATTTGAAATCTGAGGTGCTTGCTGTGAATTGTAGTTCACTGACCTGACACACGTGATTTGATATGTTATGTAATTTATAAATATCCATGAGTTCCCAAATACTTTTTGGGCCACTGTACATAATGATCTTATGTATTTAAATAACTGAATAACTTTGAAACTTTAAATGAATGCATAATTAATGTTAATATGCTGGATATGCCCACAACAGTCTGTCTGGAGCAGCCATGTCCGCCCTCCAGTTCATGTCAGTTCAGGGTGAACGCCCACTGACAGATGTTGGGAAACACTTAGTTTAAGTATGTTGACTGTTTTTTAGGGGAAAAGAGGGCTGGACATGATGATGCACACAGAGCATGAATGTGAAAGTGCAGAAGAAGGAGAGCACGGGCTATGTTTTAACACTTCTCATCATGATCGTTTTTTGGTATGTATGTGTTTCTCTACATAGAATCTTTCCAAATATCGCATGGATTATAAAAGAAATGAAGTGTATTTTTAATATTGATTGTCATTTTCTATCTATCTATCTATCTATCTATCTATCTATCTATCTATTTATATATCTATCTATCTCTCTATCTATCTATCTATCTATCTATCTATCTATCTATCTTTATCTATCTATCTATCTATCTATCTATCTATCTATCTTTGCATGCTTCCTTTGGGTTTGTTCTTATGGTTTTGTTCTTTGGTCTATCCCTGTCTTTTCTACTTTACTAATTTTTGACCTACTTTTTTCACCCTTGTTTTCTATTATGAAATTTTTTTTTTACTTTTCCACTCCCTGTCCAGTGTTATTGTCCTTCTCTTTCCTGTGTGTGGGTCCGTGCTGTCAGCTGGATGGGTGCAATCACCTGGACATCCACAAGGGTATGATCCCTATTCCAACCTGACTTGGAAAAAGTGTGCTCCGACCGGTCACAAAATCACACTCACTCTCATACATCTGGACCTAGAAGAAAGCGTTGAGTGTGAGGATGACGCCTTGAAGGTATGTGTTTGAGATAGGTTTTTTTAAAAAGTGAAAATTGTATCTCTGTGTACTTAGAAGTGCAGTTTTATGTTAAAGGAATAGTTTACCCAAAAATGAAAAGTTGCTAAAAAGTTACCCTCAGGCCGACCAAAATGTAGATGAGTTTGTTTCTTCATTGGAACAGATCTGGAGAAATTTAGCATTACATCACTCTTTCACCAATGGATCCTCTGCAGTGAATGGGTGCCGTCAGAATGAGAGTTCAAACAACTGATAAAAACATAGCAATAATCCACATATCAACATGAATCCTGTCCATCAATTAACATCCTGTGAAGCAAAAAGCTGCGTGTTTGTAAGAAACATTTCTATTATTAAGGCGTTTAAACTTTATACCGGTGCTTCTGGACAAAATATGAGTCCATAATCCTTAATAACACTTCCCCAAGTGAAGACGTCCCCTGTTGTCCTCTCACATCAAAATCCACTGACATATTTCTCTACAACTGTTTTGGACTGTTTTTGTTTGTAAATAGTGCTTGATCTGTGCATATTTCTCTCCTGATTCAGACAAGATGACTTTTT